ATTACAAACGTCTAATAGATGGCTAGATATCAAAATTGCTGGGTAGGTAGATGATATATCGTAATCGTAAACGAGGAAACTCCTATACAGAAAAAAAACAAAATCAAGAGATATATAACGTAACGATAGAAAATAGTCGACAATTGATGTAAATATTTGCGATCGTTCCCAGAACCTTACTATACTAAAGAAAACAACCTGAATTTTTTATGAAAACGATAAATCGCTTACCCGTAGAATCGTTTGGTTCTTCTACGAATTCTTCCATAGTCTTCGTGGTTTCTTGCGTTTCTTGGTCACTTAGATCCGAATCCAAGGTTTGCGGTTTGTCTCGACAAATAGGACACCAAGATCTCTTTTTCTTCGAGCCACCAGATCTCATATCACGAGATATAATTAAAAGAAAAATTCGTTTTATAGTTCAATCTACGGAAACTTTTATCATCGATGCAACAAAACTTTGATTAATTGCAATGTTCGTCCTGCAAACGTTTTCAATTTAAATGTCACTGTGCTGTTCGATACGTGCCTCTACTATCTGATAACAATCGTTCCCGACATGATTTCCACCTTGATAGACACTGTATCAAGTATTTTAATCTCGCGCAAGAAACAAGTCAGAATACTTTGAAATTTATAAGTTAATAATTATGTGAAAAATTATAATACAACAGCGGCAAATATGCACCACGTAACGGCACTAAAATACTATTATATCGACCGGACCAACGGTTGCTATAGTCTAAAAGTAAAGTATTCACTGTAAATTCACTATAGTCAAAGATATACAGTCACTTGCAACGTTGTATTTATTCTATATATATATAGAATAAACTGATATCTACAGTAATTTCTCAGAATTTATTTAATAAGAAAAATAATTTTATCTTTATTATGTTATAAATAATAATAATATTTAAATGAATGTGTAATTGCTGCATCTTAAAAAACGATTAATAAAAAATAATTTGTATGGCATATTATACATTTTATGCGTGAAAACCTATGGAATATTTAGAATATAATACACCAATTTATTTGAATGAATTTGTTGTTTGTGAATGTTTTCATTCACCTGTTATCTCTTTCTCTTCCTCTTTTGACTACAGATTTAATGAACACAAAAGACTATGACAAAATAGTTAAAACAGTTAGCGAAAAGGTAGGCAATGATGGATTGAATGTATTGTTTAACAATGCCGGGGTGAGCCCAAAATTTACAAGACTTGGCTTTGTGAAAGAGGAGCAGCTTACAGAAACATTTTTTGTAAACACAGTGGTGCCCATTTTATTAACAAAGGTAAATTTATAGAAATTAGTGTTATAAGCATTATTTCATAAAATTTAGTCATATTAGGATCCGTTCTTCATACCTACATATTATGTTATTAATTTCATCAATTTTAAGGCACTTTGGCCACTGTTGAAAGTAGCATCGGATAATTTTGAGGACAAATCAAAAATGAGCGTCAATAAGGCTGCAGTTATTAACATGTCCTCAATTCTGGGAAGTATTACAGACAATGATCAGGGTGGATATTATCCTTACAGATGTAGCAAGGTAATATTCCTTTGTTTTAATCAATACTTTACAACCCGCTTTTAATTTGCACGAATTTACAAATCCAAACGTGATTGATCTCTCTTAAAACCGTTTACTTAAAATCAACAACCATCCATAGTGATAAGCATCTTCATCATTACCGCATTTTCACGAAATCATTGGTATGAATCATCGTCATGCAGAATATGATCAAATGAAAGAACATATTATGATGATCACCTTTTGTTATTTCATGTTGATGAAAGTGTTGATATTTTTTCATCAGCGAGCTTCCATACCGAAGGAAAAAAACTGACCCTCAAAGGTCGAAATGAAACACCTATAAATATAGGTTAGACATATAAATATCTTAAAAATTATATATTTTTATTAATTTTCCCCGTACATATTTCGATGTTTAAATCATATACACTTCTGAATTAAAAAACTGGTTTTATTTTTGTATTTTTTTATAAATTATTTCACACTATCAGATATATCATCGCGATTGTTTAATCTTGTTTGATAATCGTTCTCCGTATCCTCGATTTTATACAGTACAGAATTCGTTGATCGAATATACAAATTATAATAGAAATAGATGACAAATCTTATTTAATTCCTAGGCAGCACTTAATGCAGCAACAAAATCGTTGAGCATTGATTTGAAAGATGATGGAATCCTAGTCACTAGTTTACACCCTGGTTGGGTACGCACGGACATGGGAGGGAGCAGTGCACCCATGGACGTTGATACCAGTATCAGTAACATTTTAAATACACTAAACTTGTTAAGTAAAGAACACTCAGGGTGCTTTATTCAACACGATGGAAAAAGTTTACCATGGTAAATAATTTTGATATTTTCCTGAATCACTGATACTTGATACAACTATGAACACAGTGAACAATATCTTTATACAACGATCGATTTTTATTTCAATCATGAACTATATTGTTAAGAGTATACTACACAAACCCCAAAATTGAAAGTGTTTAAATCATAATATACAGGCATGTATAGGCACAATTTCAAATGTTTGCAATAGTATTATTTTATTGGTAAATGTGAAAGCTTATTTTGTACATGTCACGGTGCTATAACATAATCTGAAGGAATGCAAATTTGCCCTAGAATATTAAATTGCAAAAAATGGTATTTGAAATATGTACAATGGTCTTCAATTACCAAACAATTATTGGACATATGATCATGTTTAAAAGTATAAATACAGTGAAATGTACCATTACAAATATTTTCAAGATACTATTTTACAGAAAAAATAAATGTACTATTACCTATTGTACATTTTTAAAATTACAATGCTTAAATGTTGTGTAACCATCTCTGTAAGATGTAACTATGAAGTAAATGAAAATGTTATACATATGTATATTTATTTCAAAAATGAAATAATACTGAGATGACATGAAGATTGTTTAGAATGTACAATCCGTTTTAAATAATAATTTCACTCTATAACTTTTTTTATACTCTTCAAAGCAGATCCTAAAACGGACTGAACATTCAACACAAATTTTTTATTAAACTATTACAAGTTCTAGTTTCTAACTCGAACCATGAAAATTTGTAACAAATCCATGTATAAAAAAATAAATCTCACTACACATAAATCAAGTTGATTCATACAATTACTCGTTTCTTCGATACATACAAATTTTCACTAAACATGGGGTGTAAAATGGAAAATGAAGAAATATCTTTCAATCTAACCATTCACAACTATGATCTAAGATAATCTTATCGCGTGCAAATTCATATAAGATGTAAATGATTTCCTAAATACCTCATTTTCCAAATAACAGTCACAGAATAAACTTTAATCAGTCTTTAACCTCTTAGGTGTTGGTTCACTATTTTGAGAATTCGAGTCTTCAGAAAATCCCAAATGTGCAGAGAAATCTGTTAATCCTTGCGAATCGCTAACTGTTGAGAAACCTAATAAATGAAAGAGTTTGTTTTATATAATCACCCAACAAACAACAATGAATATTCTACAAATTTCAACTCACATGTGTTTGAATCTTCTGTGAGACCAAAATTAGAATTTGAAGAATCTAGTCCACTTTTTCTTGGCAATCCATTTTCCTTCTCTGCTCCTGTTTTTCCCTTCTTCTTCTAAACAATAAGGTATTTATTATTACTTCTTACCTTCGTATACACTTTACAATTTTTATTCACCTGATCAAGCGAAGATATAGGCACCCACTTGTAAATCTTCATAGTAGTCTCTCCTATCGTAACCCATTTTTTTTCCCTATAAAAATGTTCACATGAGAAGCGTATTCTTCAAATCAATATCGAATCAACAGACAGGAAAGCTACCTTCTTTACTGTTATTAAAAAAGCAGATATAGAACACTATTATTCAATCAACACGCAAGAAACATTTCAGAACTATAGAGATCTGTTTACAGCTGACATGTGTAATGCAAAATCTCTATTAAATCTCGCAAGTAATAAAAACTTTAATCCGTCTCTGTTATCCGATACTGTTTTATTATATATATATATATATATATATTTTTTTTTTTTTTTTGACATTTTTCTCAAGACATTTCAATATTTCCTCGTGCATCTATAATATGTTAAGAGATTTACCAATGGCGAACTTTGTCAACGACTTGCATTACACGCTTAATATCATCCTTGGCACGACTACGAGTCTCTGCACGCACTGACCGCGACATCATGTTATATGATTACAAGTCACTGTTAATTGATCACAACACGAAACACCGGGACATTCGTCGGTGAAGAGGTTAGGAAACTGACAGTAGATATGAATTTCGATGGTGCAGTCATTAACGTCTTCAGATTCGAGACAAGAACGAGACTATCATAACAAGATGATATGTCCGAAGGGGCGCAGAGGGAATGGCGGAAATCAGTGACACTCATTACGCGATAAACTTTTACAAGTTTCACAAAAATTTAGGAAATTCTACTTAAATTAAATGTGTGGAAAGATTCATAATAATTCAACATTCTCACAGTGATAATGCGTTAAATTTGATAAGAATAAAAATGTGATTGTTCAAAGTTTCGTTAGCATGAGCGTCACTGATGGAAACTACGAATGTAGTGATGACGCTTGCGATGAACAATTTTCGTACTGTTACTAAAAGTTAACATAAAACTATGCATTTATGACATATTCTAAGCAAGAACATAAAGATAAAATTCCATTACTTTTGTTTAATTGAAAAATCTCACATCGAAACATTGACATTTTTTTTTCAAGTGATATACACAATTAGTGTAGTTTAGAATAGAGTCGTATACAACAGAATTATTGAAAGAAATTCTTGTTGGTAATATGATCCATTTGAACAAGAATTATACAAAATTAATATATATATAGTAAAGGTATAAATAAAGCTTTATTCGTTATGTGTTTCATGTATACCTTTTTCTGTATACGACTTGATTTGTACTTTGGTCTTAAGGCGGGTTTGCAATGAATTCACTTTTGGTAAATAAATCCACAACAAATTAAATTAAAGATAACGAACAATTAAAGAATGCATTAATGTACATGTATACTAATATTCGTTTTGTAGCTTTTTAGGTGCGATATTGTAATATTGCTACTGAGATAAGAATAATTTTCCTTGTACATGTTATGCAAATATGATTATGCGATACTCGAAGCGTCTAAACACTGATAGTACTATGATAATTTAAGAAAGACTTAATAAAATAATGTTTGTAAATAATCGGAATGTATTAGTTGCGCGTGATTGTAAATATAAATTCTTATAAGCATTTGCACAATTAAGGAGGGAAGTGGAATGGTGGTAACCTTAATTTAAACCGGTAACCTTAACTTGAAAAAAAAATACGAACAAAATGCCTGAACCTATAGAACCTGAACAAAAAGGTGTATCTAACGATGCAACTAAATCTCTGACGACTGAAGTAAAACATGCACTTGACGATACAACTAAATGTGTAGTATCTGAAGAAAAAGATGCTTCTCAACAAGAAGATGAATTACGTGAAAACGAATGGATGGTATAGTTTTATGTTACATAATCACTATTTGTTAGTTCTTTATAGTAAATCATTTTTGTAACAAAGGCACATTTCTATTTTTGTCTGTATTATAATAAAAAATTTTGAACATTTTAGGTGCGGCCATGTGAATTATATAAAGAAGAATATGATGACTGCAAAAGTATAAGAGCACGCTTCCATCAGTACTTCGTACATGGGAAAACTATTGAATGCTCACAATGGAAAACTGACTACGAAAACTGTTACCTTTGGTCAAAGTATAAATCTGAAAAAGCATATGTAAGTTCGAAACCATTATCATACCATATAATACCATACTTGTAATTAAATATTTGGAAGAAAGTAACATTGCATTATTTGTAGGAAGAGTTGGTAAAAAGTGAAAAGAACCGTAGACTGGAGAGGTTAAGAGGTCATTATTTGAATAATGTTTGGACTAAGAGAGACAAACCACCTGAAAGTTGGAATGCACCATTGCCACAGTGGATGCAAGACAAATTTGAACATTCATTTTTAAAGTATATGAGTGATGAATTAAAAAATCCTACAGGAAACAGCAGTCTCAAAAGTTCTTGTACTATATTGTAAGAAGTGTCAAGCTTGAAAAATATTATTAGAGGCTGACAAACTAAGCAATATACATTAATATTGCTTGGTTTCTTAAGTTACCATGTGTAAAAATGTATAACAATATTGTAGATAATAAAAGTTTCTTAATTATAAGTCACTTATAAAACAAGCACGTATGACAGTATGTTTAAGTTAAGAAATTTTGTGTGAATATCTATATGAATATTAAAAATTGTACTGAAAGTAATAGAAACCCAGTTGAAAAAAAACCTGGAAAATAATTGTTCAACTCGTTTAAGTATGAATTTCATTAGTGGATTCAATTTCAATTTGACAAGTTTATTTGCTTAGTTATGTGGAGTTCGAGGTGATATTAGGAGGTCAAGACATTTTTCTCAGTTAGTATTCAATTTTGTAATAATAATAAAGGAAATTTTGGACCTTTGAAGGATCGTATAACAATATTTTGTGCAATGAATAAACTAAATTGATTTCTTTTAGATTATTTTTTCTAAACGAGTAATAAACGTAAGAGAACATCCAAAGAGATACTAAAACCGAAAAGAAGTTTGTTTGTACACCGGCAGGAGTCGCATAAAGGACAATAACAATTGCTGCTAACAAAGAAAGAAAAAAAAAATGATGGAATCCGCGGTCAAAGCAGAGCGAGTGCAGAGCTCCGTGTCGGACATGCGCAGTGGCGTCGTTCGGTGAATTCCGTTACGCACTTTTGCTCCGTTACGAGACTCGATCCGCAAGTGGCCAGTGGTAAAAGGAAAGGCAAAAAGTGACGCTGGACTTGAAGAAGCGGGAGAGATAGTGTTTTAAACGTCGCGGCACATCCCCCTCTCCGATTCTCCAAGACGCACGACGGTGAAACGCGTCGTTCGATCGTGCCTGTAGTGTGACGTGCGTACGCGATGTTGAATGAGTGACGTAATCTAAATACAAATATTACCTATCAACGAATCGGTTGATTACAGTACGACCCTGCAAGAAAAACGGCAGTACGTTCTACCGTTCACGAGATACACATGTACACAAACAAAGTTTCTTTCGGCTGCTTCCGTTTTCGTGTTTTCGTTTGTCGTAATCTAACACGCCGTGCACCAGCCACCGAGTATATTGTGCTAACGTATCCTTGTAAGCGGTAAGAGTCGTTCGCGTCAGAGGATTTGTGGTCTTTGTGCAGAAGAAACTGTGCCCTGTGCTTCGTCACTTGGACTTTTCACGAAGTTCGTAAAGCATGGCGGAAGAGGATTGCAACGACGCCGATTATCTCGGTGCTTACAGCCGTTTTTTCACCGAATTCATTGCCAGGGTGAATCCGTACGATCAGCTGCCCGTTCCCGTAAGTTCGTACAACGTGACGGACGATGAGCTTATCGGCGAGATCATCAACGTAACTCTGCAGTATATCAATCAAACGTAAGTGAATGTACTCTTGAATTAACGATATTATGGTATGTCAGGAGCGTGGGTGGACATCGTATTCCATGATAAGCTTCTATGGCGGCCGGCGCCGAATGTAAACAGAGGCGATATATAGGTCTTCTAAACTGACAACTTTTAGGAATTCCTCTTCTTAAACAATGATTCATATGACCGCTCGTTTGCCCATGTATTACGCGTGGAAATTAATTCTGTGCCTTTATATTCAATTAGTATTTATTATTTTTGTAACTCTTGTTCAAGTTAAAACGTTTACTTGATATTTTGTTATTTTAAAGTAATTAACCTTCTGAGTCTCAATCTGATGGCCATTACAATTTATCTATATACAGGGTGTACCAGTTTAGATCACCATCCCAAATATCAAGGTTAATGGTTTTTTTTTTTCTCGATGAGGTATTTTTATTATTGTAGTTGATAAAAAAGCAAATTTAAACATGTATAATACATTAACCTTCAGATGACTCATAGAATGCAGAGTTTATTACATAAAATTTAAAATCTAAAAAGATAAATTCAAAGAGAAGAATCATTTTATTGTCGACGATATAGAAATGACAAATTTACAAAAATGATTATTATTACTGGTATAGTTGATTACATGTACACCGAAGAGAGCTGGAATTTCACACGTAGCTTGTAAAGACTAAAAGCATTTCTTTTTGTAGCTTGCCTTTACATCTCAGTACCTCAGTGAAATATTCTTGGAGTTTTTGATCAAACAACGCGAGATATTTTGTGCGTTTAAACGAGTCTTTATTCGTATTCGTACACACGTGATACAGTTATTGTTTATCCTTGTTTGTCGTGTCGAGGAACACGTGACAAACGGTAAAAGTAGGCGCGGCACATGCTCTAAATGACAGTAGGAACGTTTGTGATCGATCCACGGCTTTTTTCATCTGGCAAGCGTAGACGCTTTTCACGCGGCTTTTGTTCGCCTTTGCGTGTCTCCATTGTACTATAGGAATGGAGCTCTTGGAAGTATTAAAAACTTACCGTTACGATATAAGGATATTAAAAAAAAAACATTATATGTGGAGTTATACGTTCGTTTTAAATGGAATGTAAGAGTTTAAATATTTTTCTCCGCTGAAATTGCCGTACGGTTTACGAAAGACGTTTAAAATAGCGTTTCGCCACTTGGCCACTGTTTTCATGGGTCATTGTCTGAAAATAGAGAATACAGTAATAATATCTGTGTACACATTGTTTCGTGTACATTTTACGTATGCGTTCCAACTGTATGATCTCTTAAACGAAATATTTATTTCGAACGAGAACTTTTCTAAAAGAAGAATACAGAGATACTTTTCAAGATATTTTTTTTGCAATTTAAATATACAAAAGTTGTATATACAGGGTGTTCAGGCTATTACTAGCCAGCGTTTTTCTCGTAAATGGTACATATGGCAAAAAATGAAAGAGGACAAATTTATACTGTTTTTTATGTGCAATGTAACCAGGTATATAGATCTTTTGTATTTGTACTATTTTCTGAGAATTGAAGATGACCTTCAGTTTTTTAAATGGAATGGTATATTTTTTGTACAAAAATATGGTAGAGTATCGAATTCTAAATAAAAAAGTATTGATCTTTATTAGCCCTAAACCTAACAGGTAACGAGTAATTTCACTTTATTACTTGAAAATGTTCTTAACGTAATATCAAGATGGAGATTCAAACAAGTGTACTACGAATTCTTCGTAAAGAAAAACATCATCCATGTCACTCAGCACTTCATCAGGAACTGTCCTGCGGAAATCTGTGACAAGGTTGAATCTCGATCTCGATATTACGTTATGAAAATTTTCAAGTAATAAAGTGAAATTACTCGTTACCTGTTAGGTTTAGGGCCAATAAAGGTCAATACTTTTTTATTTAGAATTCGATATTCTACCATATTTTTATACAAAAAATATACCATTCCATTTAAAAAATTAAAGGTCACCTTCATTTCTCAGAAAATAGTACAAATACGACAGATCTATATACCTGGTTATATTGCACACAAAAAACATTATGAATTTTTCCTACTTTAATTTTTTTGTCATATATACCATTTACGAGAAAAACGCTGGCTAATAATAGCTTAAACACCCTGTATATTTTCGTGTATATTACATAATTTGTTTGATTTGTTGTCCCCGTAAAATGAGATTGAATTTAAAAATACTCTTCGTTATTTCGTTAGATGAGATCTTCAGATTCCATTTTGCTTTTGTCTCCATTGAGATTATAATGTATCGCTGATCTTTCCAAATTCCTTGCAAATTATACACATTTAATTATAGGTATAAACAGAACTTACCAAGATTACACCATCCGTAGTAACTTCGTATTTCCGTACAACTTTGTTGTTATCTGGACTGACCGAAACTGTCACCAGGCTATCTCCTTCCATTGTAGTCATATTCTAAACAGAAACAGAACCCTTTTCTTTCATATCAACGTTGACGACGCTATCTTTCGAATGCGAAAGTATTCTGCGTGCAAATCGAATATACAATTAGGTTGTCCCGTGCACAATTCAGTAATGTAACATGAAACATAAACTATTGTGCATGTATGGCTTATTAATAATGCGAAAGAAACTTTGCACTTTTAGAAATAAAGATTGAATAATAATAATGTCGTCAAAATAAAAAATATCATTCAATTGAATTATCCTAGTAATTATCCAAAGATAAAATAAGGATTGAATAATCGAATGTTATCAGAGTAAAGAATATTATCGAATTTAATTTCGTAAAAATAAGGTAAAGAGTACTTTCAATGTAACTCCAGCAGGCATGTGTTCTTCGTATTCTTCACCGAGAGTAAACGTCACTTCTACTGTGCGAATCATCGAAATTGTGCGAATTGTCCATTTATCACCGTCATTCGATATTTCCAGTCGCGGACTGGACATGGCCATCATTTTCCGTGGAATGTATGGTACACCTATGAGTGCATACAAGTAGAAACAAAACCGACTTAATTCTTACTCGATATTCCATTGTTTCGAATGCCATTCCACGTGTAATACAATTTCAAGTCCCTATGAAAAAGAAAAATCTCTTCCTTCGATGTAACTCGCGACCCTAATCAGTGGCGTAACCAGGGCCTGTTCAATTCGAAGAATTAATTTTATTACTTAATAAAAATAGATTCTTTTTTCTAATATTACACAAGATTTAGAGGGTTGGCTTCCGTTTGAAAACAAATTTCAGTTACGCCACTGAACTCAATAACAGATATTAAATAAATAATCCACTAAAATTGTCGGTATTTTAATCATTTATTTGATTCATTAAATATTTAGTAAACACAAAATCGTAATATACAGAAAATTCTCAAAAACAGTTATATGATTATATAGAAATGTATAAATATTTTTTTAATTAAAATGAACATGTAAGAAAGTAGTACACATGGATAAAATCAAGTTCTTAGACACGTCTGGTTTTCTATATATTTCAGAAAGGAATGATTAAATCCTAAATTGCGTTCAGATTTTCCAGCAATTATATATTGTACTTGTTCTTGCTACCATCGTAGGGTACGGCACATTCATTTTTGCCCACTCCATTCAACATACCCACAGCTTTGAAATACTCGTCGAGATTTTCATTGCGTTCATGTTGATAATTGCCGACGATCGATGCCATTTTTTGCTCCAGTTGATAACGCTCTAGAATCGGCGATACCGGCGCGTCGAGATTCGTCAAAGGTTGTAGAATGCTTTTATTTCGAATCGTGCCGTCTTGTAGCAGTTCGAAAGATTCGGATCTCAACAACCTTGAAACATATTCCTCGCTGTGGCTTGTGTTTACAATTGTGGGTAAATCGTTATCTAAAGCGCAGTCTCCTTGTTCCCGTGGCAAACGCTTTTTGCGAGTTACTTCTCCTTTCCATAGGTCTCTCATATCTAAATTGTGATACGTTATCTTACACGGCAAATATCAGATAGAAACCAACATGTTTGATGTTAAGACATTCCTTGCCGCGAAGTTGAACGTTTAAACGGTCCAACTTCCTTTTCAGGAAGAAATTAACAGTTGTATTCTCGATGGGACATGTTTGTGTATTAAACATGAAAAGAAAAGAAAATTACATGTCGAATTAAGTAACCTCCTCCTTTTCGAAGTCAGTTAAAAAGTGTTGCATAAAGATTCATCGAAACTTTGAGTACGAGTCGAGTCGTAGGAATTAATTGCAACTTAGAACAAAGGGATTTTAAGTCCACAGAGGAAAAGGAATGAGTTCATTTCTTGCTTTTGGCGTTTGTGTACGTGTGTACTATTCTAGAATTTATTTTCACTGTAAGAAGGACGAAAAATTGAAAAATCTTTCAAGAAACAGTAAAATAGCAAATTGCAATAAAACGAGTAGATCGCCTTTAAAATCAGTAGAGATGGCAACACTGGCTATATGCATAGTTTATTCAGCGAGCCGAACAACTTGGGTAAACAAAATCACGTGACTACAACAGAACCCATTATTGAACCGATATACCTTTTAACCAGAAGTGTATCACAAAAACATGAAAATATTCGACAAACTGTTAAATCGTTAGTAGAACTTTTATTACAAAATTATTGTAGATATTAGAGGCTTGAAAGAAAAATCGTAGATAAATAGTAACGCTCATTCTATTGTATTCTAATTCCATTGTATTCGTATCTATAGATTCTATACCATGACCTCTCGTTTGAACGAAATATGTTTCATAGATGTAGCGCTTTATTTCTAATGCCATTCGATTGCATAGCTACATAAATCAATTTTTATTCCTTCAACGCAAAATATAACTTCATTTTACAATCAAGATACTAATTTCTACTTAACGTATAACTAGACTGCGGATCTTTATGCATTTATAGGAAATTTGAATGTGCAAGAACCTACAAAATGCAAACAACATGCAAGAATATAAAAAAAGATTGAAAGTTCATGTTATAATATTTGGAGAATAAAATAAATTCCTATTTAGGTTCAATTTACGTGGATTCGGTTGCAAAGATTTTATTTTGCATAAAGATCCCCAGTCTACGTATAACAGATAAAAAGTTGTCCTTTCTTTTATCAATTCTTCGACATCTTTATCTATACCGGGTGTTAAAAAAAAAGTATTCAATATTTCTATGGTTTATAGGGCACACTGTACTGAGTAAAAAAGCTTTAGTAAACATAGGTCCAAAGGTCAACCGTTTCTGAGATATAAACATTTTTGTTTGCTAGTATCATTATTGACTTACTTGCTTCGATCGCATGCGATGTTTATGTCAATGTTTATAAATTGTGTTCTGAATGTTCCCATTCAAGTGCCGACAATTTCGTCAATTTCATTTGTTCAATTTCGTGTACAGAAATTATCGAAAACCCAGTAGTAAGTCAATCATGATACTAGCAAACAAAAATGTTTATATCTCAGAACGGTTAACCTTTGGACCTATGTTTACTAAAGCTTTTTTACTCGGTACAGTGTGCCCTATACACCATATAAATATCGAATGCTTTTTTTTTAACACCCTGTATATTTTCGATTTATTAACGTTGCTTATCTCTGGAATATTCGTGCATTATATGTCATGTAGGATATTTTAAAATCTACTATAAACTCGTTTTATTTATTGTAACTCGTACCCAAAATTTTAATAAATCTTTTGAAAACACCCTATATACTTAACGGCATATTTGATCGTGCTACTGTTATTATTAGATAAGATACGAAGGTACGAATAATGATAAATAAAAAGCACAATACCGACAGACGTTTCTAAGATTGGTTAGAATTATAATTATTTCTAGATAAATTGTAGAATGCTTTTTATGCTTACGATGAAGGGAATTTCGAAACGAAAAATCCATGGTTCTAACGAGGAGGTTGTAGTTATCGAATTTTCCTGATTATATATTACGTATATTTCTTTGCTTTTAAACATTCTGCTTTGATTATATTTTCATTTTCTATATTCAGAGCAGTGATCGAATCGTAACGTTTGTTACTTCACGCGATACCGAAACAGCGTAAAATAATTTAAATTATTACGAAATCTTTGAATGTTACATATTGGACGAATTTTGTAATATTTTAGGCCATGTCCATCAAGCCTACAAGCACACTTGGTTCATCAAGTAATACAGGAAATCTTGTCCATGTGCAAAAAGCAACCAGAAGATTACGGATATAAACCGCAAGAAAACAGTATGTTTCTTTGTCATGAACTTTTGTATTTTATTTAAGAAAAATAAAGTTTTTAATAGCAGTGTATATTATCTTGCAGCATACACTTCATTGAAATTAATGCAAGCCGTTACTGGTAAAGTTAATGAAATATGTACTCGCTACCTGGACAATAGTAGATTGGCATTACTACCATCTCCTCCTTCAACACCATTGCCTCAAGTAATAGCAGGTGGAAATAAAAATTGCAGAAGGAGAATGGAGGATCGTTACGTGGTCATACATGATTTACACACTATGTTTGGTATCGAGGTAAACATTAATGCTGAATTTTTATTGTATATGTAGACAAATAACAGGTGGTGAGCATTCTGTTTGATGAATAATTGAAAATTCTAGGACGATTCCGTAGCAAATTACTACGCAGTATTCGATGGACACGGAGGACAAGATGCAGCTGTATATTCTGCTACTCATCTTCATCAGTATTTAGCAGAAAGCATATATTATCCTACAGATCCAGAGCGTGCCTTACGCGAAGCTTTTATCGAGACAGACACACAGTTTATAGAAAAGTCTAAGACACAAGTAATTAACGAAGTTTTATTTATTATTACTTGGTGTATACAAGTACAGAATAATATATTGCTGAAATAAGTATGTATCGTTAATGTTATTGTTAATATTTTTCTTTCAGAAAATATGTGGTGGTACAACCGCAGTTTGCACCTTATTGTTAAACAAGAAGTTATATGTTGCCTGGGTAGGAGATTCGTCAGCCATGCTAATAAAACGTGACAGTGTCGTTCAATTAGTGAATCCACATCGACTTCAGCGTAAAGTAAGTACGCGCTTAAATGTGGCTTTTACTTCGATTAAGATGATCATATAATATTACATGTTCATACTCTGGACAACGCACTCTTACTCTTGTCGTATTCACGCCTGGAGTGGGTAATTTAGGATCCACGGTAATTACATGTCTATCATGGCAGTATTTGAATCTAAGACCTTGTTTTGGATCTATAATTGGTTGATAATTACAAGTTTCATTTAAACACGTTTTGTTTCTTCTCCAGTGATAATACGCGAGATCAGATGCTTGAGGCCATAGTTTCTTTTTCCCTTGAAAATATGGAAGCCAATTTTCTTTTTCGAGTCTCTCACTAAAGTCAATGTAACCAGAGATCTCAAATTGAAGTTTCGTCATATTTCTTACGAATATAATAGTGGATACGATTTTTAGTCTATTTAAACGTTCGCGAAGCGCAAGTTCTTGCATTACTGCGTTGCTCGGTGTTACAAATTCTGACGTTAACTCGTAAGGTTTATAGATCGGAAATAGCAAATCTCTCACAGCTTTCAAACGTCGATAGAATGCATCTTCGTTAAGAGTCTCGCCTGTACAACGATATCCGAGTTCGGCTAATTGACGCGCGGTATAAAGATTTCCTATATATCCAAGGTCAACGAATGTTACCAGAGAATCCAAATAATCTTCATAATTTTTGAATTTTAATAATCTTTTATCACTGTCAATTTGTGTTCCTACGATTGACATTTTTAAATATAATTTCGTAAATCGATGATTTTAAGTAGACTATATACTTATTTTAATGATTGGTTTGACATACAATTTTTGGTTACGATTTCCTTGCACAGAAAACAATTGACATTTAATATGTATAGTGTAGTGTATTTAAAACATAGAAATGTTATAGATAGAGCAGGGAAGACAAGCCTGAAATGTCACATCGTTTGAAAATCGAAAGAAACCGCGGGACTTTCCATCTATCTCTGTCTATTAACGCATGCGCCGTAAAAGTCAGACTATCATTGGTTGCTGAGTTAGCTTTGTACAGGGTGTCCCAAAAATGTTGTAACTCCTTGAAAGGGGTGGTTCGGGAGGTGATTTGAAACAATTTTTCCCTTAGCGAAAATGTTGTCCGAGGCTTCGTTGAGGAGATATTAACAGAAAACACTGACCAATCAGTGCGTGAGTATGCCAGTTGAGCGTAGGCTACGCGCTAGGCGGCCGCGCTCATACGCTACCGCGGCCGCTCCACCGGTATACTCGCGCTCTGATTGGTCAGTGTTTTCTGTTAATATTTCCTCAACGAAACCTCGGACAACATTTTCGCTAAGGAAGAAGTTGTTTCAAATCACCTCCCGAACCACCTCTTTCACGGTGTTACAACATTTTTGAGACACACTGTATATTACAAATTTATAAGACGTACACAACTTGTTGTATTGTACATTCATACAATTTATACCGAATATATTACGGAATACTAGTATAAAATACTAGATCAAATTTTATGAGAAAGTAATCGAAAGCTGCGTGAATTCAATTGAATAAAAGAGTTAATGTTAGCAAGGTGATATTCAAAAGGCGCGCGAAGCCATACACTTGTACGCATGCGCTGTTAGGCAAAGACAAATGGGATGCCGCGCTTTTCTTTTGCTCGTTGGCTGTAGTATGGCGGAGATCTGGCTCTCCTTCGTTATTTATTAATATCTTTATTGTTTAAAAGAGTTCATGTGACGTGCAAAAAAACAATAGTTTTCATTCCTAGGATGAAGTACGAAGAATACAAAAAATGGGAGGAGTGGTGATGGAAAGTATGGGAATCATGCGAGTTAATGGAGTCTTAAGTGTTTCAAGAGCTATAGGTGAGTGAATTTTTATTTCCTTTTGTCTTTTTGAAAATTTATAGCAATTAATAATTATCATAGTTGTCGCTTTTTAAAAGTATACATATTTGAAGAAAGTAATGTCATTATTACTTGTAAAAATAAAGAGAACAAAATATAATTGGAAGCATAGTAAAATCTGTACTAATAGAACATTTTATTACCCAAATAGTATAAATTTTCTCAAATTGTGCATTGGTTATATATTGTTATTATTATTACAAATTATTAGCAAATTTGTTCATATCAATGTCATATAAAGCAAGTAATACATATTTCAATGAAACATGAGTGAAACATTTGAAAGCATTAAGAAACTGCAACGATGTAAAAAAAAATAGTGCTTTTCATTTTCATTCGTTACGTTAGTTCCTTTTAACACAATATCAGTATTAAGAAAGGGATTATTTCATTATTCAAATATTTGTGTAATCAAACAATTACTTATATTACTGTATATCTCTATCGGTTATAGTATCTATGGGTGACAGTTATTTATATATCTTTATCGGTTTGGTCCATATCTATAACAGATACATAAAAACAACCATGGTCGACATCGATTTTCCAATTTTATTATTAAGTACATCTAAAAGAAGTTACAATACAGTAAAAGTTGCATCAGAAAAAATTTTATTGCACATTATTCTTATAACACGTTAGTCCAATTCTCTTCGAGAATAACACGTTTAATTATGTTGAATAATTGCGTGGACGAACGTTTAAGACAAAAAGACAGTCGAGAAAGTCATAATTACAACTTCTTTGCATACGTTTTCGCGTATTCTAGTTGAAAGTTGAGGTTAACTCCTCGGAGGAGCTTCGTAAAAATACGTTCGGTTAACGCATATCGTCATAACATTTCAACGAATGTTAACAGGGAACAAGGAAACTGCGCATTTTTAAGGCGTGGCCTTATATCGTTGATTTTTGTCGACATTCATCTATTATTTGTTTATATTTACTTTTCGTACTCACGTCCGACGATACGCGAAAACGCACAGGTTATCCTTTACTCTGCACTATTAATTCTACCGTCAATTTGACACAATATTATCGTCTGTCTTCCACTGACATTCACTGTTGCTTAGAGAAAACTAACAGTCGCTAGATGGCGGTGCAGGTATTCTCTTGTAATCGGTCAATCGCATCAGAAAGCGTTGCTTTCAACCAGAATTGAGCAATGATTGATTACTTCATGATTATTTTTTTAGCTGATTATAAGAACTGAACGTGATAATCGTAGTCATTAGTCAAGCAGAAATTAATTACTTAATGGTGAATTACATTTGTAATTTACAGTCATTAATCAGTAATTTGTTTATACTGTAATGATATTAATGTAATGAAAGATTATTTTTTCTTTTACTTATACTTCAGAAATATTTATACTTATACTTCAGAAATACTTATACTGTATTTGACATGGTGAGTAGTACAATTTATTATTGTATAATTGAAATTAAGGCAACTCTAGTTAGTTGTTTCTTTTCAAGTTGGAATTGTTCATTACATACATAGATATATTTCAAAAATATAATGTTCTGAATTCTTTTAATAAAGATAATTATCTTTGCATTGCTAAAATATTTCAAGTATGGTTAAGAGAAAATAGAAAATTATCATAATAGGACTTTGCATTTTTTTAACTTCAAGTACAAAAAATTTGGTAATGAATTTATACCAATTAAAAATATCCTGGGTACTTTGACAATATATTAACGAACAATGTGTAACTTTTTTCTTCTTCTAATGTTTAAATTCATTCGTCGGGGTTAACAATCCGTAACGAAATTTCATTCGCGAAGATTAATCGTCTTAATGGGGTTCTGTTATTCGTTGAAAAGTTGTCGACCGGCTGAATTGCAATAGAATAAAGACGATAAAAAGAATTTTTAATTGTAGCACAGTTCCCGGGCTGTTCTCATACGTTCTTAATTATTTTATTGCGTCTGGTTCTCGTAGACTTGTTTCTGCGGTTTATGAAACTTGATTCTACTATAACCTCGGCGAGCAAGTTTCAGAGAGTGCATGTTCCTGGTGGATTTACTATTCGTTTTTCTTGTCAATTTAGATGAGCGCAAAATGAAGCAATCGATATTCGTATTAAATTAATTTTCTTCAAACGTTAATACGGAATGAAGTTGGAATTTTCCAACATTCTAATTTAATAAGCTTCTAATCGATACATTTTTCTATTTGTAGCAATATTTACAAAAGTATGAAGATAATTTTTATTATTTTTGGTACCTACAGAATCTACTAATATAAATTTGCTATATACAGTGGGTTTTTGAGAAATTGATCGGTGTACGAATACATTCTACACCCACTGTAGTTAAACTACGTTTATGAAAGATAAATAAATACTTTGCACCTGTAATTGTTCACATCATGAGGTCGTTGGTAGAGTAAACAGGTGCAGCTCTTTTAGATATACAGGGTGTTCAAAAAAGAGCATTCAATATTTATATGGTGTATAGAACACACTGTACCGAGTAAAAAAGCTTTAGTAAACATAGGTCCAAAGGTCAACCGTTTCTGAGATATAAACATTTTTGTTTGCTAGTATCATGAGAGAGCACTTAAACACGGTGTGGACATGGTGGACCAGTTGTATGGGCTCCTCGATCCCCCGATTTAAATCCTCTGGACTTCTTTTTATGGGGATATTTAAAAAGCCAAGTGTATTCCACCCCGATAGATGACTTGAAAGAGCTACGTAACGGAATCCACCATGCTTGTCAAATAATTCGACAGAAATGTGGAATTTTCGAGAGAGTTCGCGACTCTGTAAGAAGAAGATGCCAAGCGTCTACAGATATGAGCGGTGGACACGTGGAAAATCTTGTATAAATATCGAAAACCCAGTAATAAGTCAATCATGATACTAGCAAACAAAAATGTTTATATCTCAGAAACGGTTCACCTTTGGACTTATGTTTACTAAAGCTTTTTTACTCAGTACAGTGTGCCCTATACACCATATAAATATTGAATACTTTTTTTTGAACACCCTGTAGAATCACAAAGGTTAATACTAGGTAGCAGAAGCTAACAGGGGAAAAATTTGTCTAATTGTAGATTGTCTAGAACTCCAGCAGTTATGCAACTTAATTGTCGCATCACGAGATAAATTTGACTCTTTGCATGTTTGCAAAGAAGCCAAGTAGGGAGGAGCAAGGTGTCCTAGCAGCTGGCCAACTATGGCTTAGGTATCGTGGGGAAAAGGAAAGAAAAAAAATTCTGGACGCGTGTCGGGTATCCTGTTGGTTCCGTTCGACCGCTGACACAATAGTACGTGCAACCATGCTCCGAGCAATGCACGCTTTACTGGGTGGCTGATACAATCGCATGCCCGGAATAATTAACAGCTCATTACGCCGTTTTTGCATCGCTAGAAGACGCGTGTCTCGATGATCCGTTGTCTGGTGGAATTTCTCTCCATGTTTACAAAAGTTTTTGCTGTAGACACGTATTTTCAATTTGACGATTGAAGAGGTCAAATTGAGATTGAAATTTTAGCATCGAATATTAGGCAACACTTAGGAAGGAAATTGGTAATAATGAGATTGAATTCTTCATCATAATGAATTGAATTATTTTAGGTGCACTAGGATTAGCAATATGAAATGCGCTATTTCATGATTAATGGTGATTTAAAGATCAGGAAAGTTGAATTGCTATTAGCTCTAATTTTAGGTGTTTATTTTTCTAGATTATAAATAACTGGATTTTACGAAGCATCAATTTGTTTTAGCGATAGAATTTTTGGACTAATTTTTGTATTAGATGAAGTTAGGATCTTGGCGAACGTGCCTACAAAAATTGAACCCAAATAGGAATTTATTTTATTCTGCAAATGTTATAACATGAACTTTACTTTCAATCTTTTCTATATTCTTGTATGTTGTTTGCATTTTGTAGGTTCTTGCACATTCAAATCTCCTATAAATCTATAAAGATCCGCAGTCTAATCATTATACATTATACATTATACATTATACATTATACATTATACATGTTTAATCAATTCGGAGATATAAATTTTAGTTTCATCTCAAAGTCTCAGATTGTTACTATTCGCAGCCGATTAGCTCGCTATTACTCGCGACGAAGGGTTGTTCGTACGCTATTAACAACGATAATCAAGAAAATGTTAGTAATTAGACACAGAAATAAATATGAGCGGACACGAGACGCGCACACGCGATACCGAGATCCGTACTGAAGGATCATTTAAGAATAATGCGTAATTTTTATTCCTCGCGTTATTCTCGAGAAACAAATGGATAGTATAATATCTTTCCTACGTGAGTATTTAATAAATTTAGGACTTTGTTTCATGTATAATATTAGGTTGTCCCAAAAGTTTCTTTCGCTTTATTAATAAGTAATACATGCACGATAGTTTATGTTTTATGTTACATTACTGAATTGTGCACGATTCATTTTGCTCCATTACTGTTACAACATGAATATCTATGAAATTAAATTGTCTATTTATATAAACACGACCACATAAAATAATTGAGTGTAACTCGCGAAAGAAACTTTCGGGGCAACCTAATACAAAAGGCCACGGTTTAATGTATTTCTCTTTCGAACGTAAACATCCCTCGACACTTTTTAACGCCGAAAATGAACAAAGTAGCAGGAAAAATGTAATTCCCCGTAACGTGCAATTTTATGGAATTCGAGATAACTGTTACAGTTACCCATTGCGCATAAGCGATGATTTTTTTTTACATCTGAAAAACACGCGATGGACGAAGCGTGGGGTGTATCAGTGTTCAACTAGACCGTAATTAACTTTAACTATCTATTTAATGAATGGCGCAGCTAATTTAAATAATGGCACTACCGTAACATAGACGCTTCCGGTTATTATAAATTTGTATGGTTTTTTTCCTTCGGCTTACTACGACTATGAATGAAACCCGGTACAGTTAATGATCGAAGAAACACGGAAATTCGCGAGCAACGGAGAGAAAGAAACTTCCAATAATTGCCAACTTTCATAAAGAAATATACATCGAAATGTGCAAATAAATCGTTCCGAAACACGATGGAAAGCGCGAAGAAAAATTGTAATTAGAAGAGTTAACCCTTTAAATCATAGAATGTGAAATTCTAAAAAGAATTTGAATAAAGATTATGCATGGAAATGCATTGAAATAGGATTATAGACGCGTTAGAAATACGATTATGGAATTTAGAAATACACGCAGATGGTACTCCTAGACATATTTATTTAATGCACCGAAAACTTATGTATCGATCTTCAAACGTGTTAATTTATTATTCTTGATCTGCTCATAATATCGATATTAAAAAAGTTTAATTTAATGTATTTTTTGCAATTTCAGGCGACGTTCGATACAAACCATTCGTAACGGGCGAACCAGAAGTTAAATGCGTCCATTTGGATGGCACCGAGGATTTCTTAGTGGTGGCCACCGACGGATTGACGGACTACCTGAATTCTTCGGAAGTGTTGACTGTTCTCTATCACGAAATACAACGAGATCCAAGTGAGTACAAAATTTTACGATTAATATAGCGATACTTCGTTTCATTGGAAATATTTTACTTCGGATCGTGCAAGTATTTTATGAAATAAAGTATTTTATTTGACATCAAAAATTTTTAAGATGATATTTCAAATAATATTTTATTTCAAAAACACTGAATATATTTGTACCATAATTTGGAATATTTTATTTTACTAAATTATAGTTTAACAAAAATATACATATCGAATTGAGTAACTCCTCCTTTTTCAAAGTTGGATAAAAAATATATTTATTTTGGTAATCTAAAACGAACGAAGTACTTTTCCTCTGCATTATAAACATACATTCAATGTACTTCTTCAATGAATACTTCTATCAAGAATCTTCAATAAAAATCTTCATAAAATGAATGATGGAAAGAGATATTCTTCAATTGCAAGAAATCATAATATTTGCATGAAATGGTTTCTCCATCTGTGTATCATACATACACAGTTTATTTTCAAATTAAAAACTATGGAAAGTATTCTATCTTATGCTTTATGTTATTAAAATGAAACATTTTATTTTATGTGTTAGATTATCAAAATAAAATATTTTATTTGCTGAAATTTTATATCCCATTTGAAATACTATTTTGTTTGAATTCTGACGAATCTATTATTTAAAATAGTATTTAAAATAGTATTTAAAATATTTTTTCTACAAATATTACCCACCTCTGTATTCAGATGGTATTATTAACCTGAATGAACAGGGTGGGGTGCATTAACATCTTGCTTTAAATTTAAACATCGATATTTGGAGATCGATAGCACTCACAAGTCTTACATTTGCTGATTTTTCTATTCGAGGTCGTTTGCTTCAATAGACACAAAAGGGTACAAGTGGGACTGTATTTCAAGAGTTAAACGATACTTGAGGCTATCTCTCCTACACTATTTTCAACGATTTCTTTCAAAATACCATTGGTTACGTCGTTTCTGTAATCCCCTCTTGGCTCGATTCCCATTTCCATCTGAAATTGAATCATCCCGTCACTGTATATTTTCTGCAGCCAGTGTTGTCTCTAGTTACTCTAAAAATATTCTAGAAAATCCCAGCCATAGCTTGTTCATTGTTCAGACACGGAACACTTACACTTTGGAACAAAAATCAGAAATTGCGTGCAACTCTCGTCAGTTGAAATCGAGGGGTGTGCATCGATAAGGAGGCAGCTCCATTTTTCAAATTTTTGGGAAACTAAAAAAAAAACGTTTTAAAATTCAGATTTTTGAAATGTCTTTTCCATATCATAGCATAGATACCTAATTATGAAATTCCTTTTCAGAGTGGTGGGAGGAGGATTAATGTTTGGCGCTGCCTCCTTACTGCAGCACACTCTACAATTTGTTTAGATTGGTATCAGTTCATAACGTTTCCCTTTTTATTATAATATTTAACGTCGCGTGCGTCATTAGGGTATTAGCGAACACATTTGTTATAGTCAGAAGTGGCTAATATTTGTAGAAAAAATATTTTAAATACTATTTTAAACAATAGATTCTTCAGAATTCAAACAAAATAGTACTTAAAATGGGATATAAAATTTCAGCAAATAAAATAGTTTATTTTGGTAATCTATAGTTAAAGCATGAAAATAAATATTTTATTTTGGTAATCTATAGTTAAAGCATGAAAATAAATATTTTATTTCGATAATCTAACACATAAAATAAAATATGTTTCATTTTAATAACATAAAGCATAAGATAGAATACTTTCCATAGTTTTTAATTTGAAAATAAACTGTGTATGTATGATACACAGATGGAGAAACTATTTCTTGCAAGTATTATGATTTTTTGCGATTGAAGAATATCTTTTTCCATCATTCATTTTATGAAGATTTTTATTGAAGATTCTTAATCGAAGTATTCATTGAAGAAGTACATTGAATGTATGTTTATAATGCAGAGGAAAAGTACTTCGTTCGTTTTAGATTACCAAAATAAATATATTTTTTATCCAACTTTGAAAAAGGAGGAGTTACTCAATTCGATATGTATATATTTTTTTTTACACTATAATTTAGTAAAATAAAATATTTTATTTTTAAAAGTACATGCACGATTCGAAATAAAATATTTATTTACTTACGATTTACTATTTAAAATACGTATTTTACCCAGCTCTGGTTATAGTCTCCTCGCAACTATCTCATCGAAAAGATATTACATAAAAGATATTCTTTCATTAAAAGATACGTTGGGTCCGTTGCAAACAAATTTTAGCATACTCTTACGTACCGCAACTATTCCGGCACGTCCAATTCATTATTCTCACTGGAGAGAAAATCGAGAGAAAACGATGCTAGTCCAACTCGTCGTTCGAGCAGCGTGCTTAGCTATGTTCCATTAATTTGGCTGATCTATTGCTGGAGCGCGGAGAAGATTTCCATGTCACGAATAGAGCAATCGAAGCGAGTAATTATAGACCTGCTGTGCAACAGATCCATATGAAATTCTCGGATTAAGTCGTCATTAATCCAATTAAATTTTATTGCGCACCGATGCGAGTCAATCCCTTATCCAGACTCTGAACTCCCTTATTAATCCAATAATATACAGAGAATCTTTAAGCATTTTATCTACCAGGAATCAGCTTCTCAATTCCAAAGTTTTCTGTTCTTTTTGCAGAAATAAACAAGATTTTATTTAAGAAATTTTATTTCACGTAACGAATAATTGTGGAATGTCAATGTTTTTATACATTATAGTAGGCATGTTCAACTATCAAACAAAATTTTTTTTTTGTTTATTCTTAATGATTTATTTTCATTCATAATAGCTACATAATAACTTGAAATTGAGTTCTGTGGTGTTAAATGACCGAAGTTAAAAATAAGGGTTGAAAGATTCCATTTTTCGAGATGTTCAAGTACTTTCACCCCCTTAAGTGGTCCCTGGAAGACCATTTAACCTGAATTTTCTCCGAAACGTGGAGCAGAACACCCAGCGGCCGATAGTTCGAGAAAGTAACGGGGATTGCCGTCTCGCAAGGAATTTCGCGCTGGAAAACGCGAATCTCGTAATGACTCATACACCTTATAAGCGGCTGCCAACAAACTGTGTCCAGTTGTTCTTCATGGCTCTGTCATGCTCTGCTTCTTGTTGCTTCAGGGACGAAGATCGGAACAGATCGCCCTGGCCACACGTTTCACCGATGTTCTTTCGTGTCCGTTGAAAAGTTGCTCCGTTTCTGTTCGTAGCGATTCCAACGGCGACGGGTTCGTTGAACTTCCTCGTCGACGTATGCCAGTCGTTCACCGACCAATGTCGTTTTCACCGTCGAAATTTTTCTATCCAAATCCTGCCTGTACGTTTCGACGTTCTCGGTTAACGACTGGAACGAACGTGTAAGGGAAAATCGGCACTCGACGCGTGACTTCGGTGACCGAGAAAGGAACAAAGAAATTATTAAACAGATTAGAGAGGATTCCAGAGCACGGTCTGGAGCCCCATTTACTTCCATAGGCGCACATGGTGTTGTTGTATATCATTGTAACGAGGAAGAATATTTGTAGGAGATAGAAAATAATTGTTTGAGAGTGAATGTATTTTTTGTTATGGTGAATTGTATATTTAGTAGCAGTAGAAAAATTTATATAATATGATGGTTGGCATCTAGCTTGGTTCCATCAGGAAAATTTATTTGATTTTTTTTATTTATTCTACGAATTAGGTTTTGTAATGGATGAAAATGTTAAAAAAGAAATTAGTAAACCGCAGCGAGACAAATATTGGTAGCAAATGGGAAATAATTGTTTGAAACAAACACAAGTAAATATATTTGTGTTACGATGAATATTTATTACAGTTCTGTAAGATTAGTTACAATAATGGGTGAAAATATTAAACAAGGTGAAAAATGCAATGAGAGAGAGAAGAACTTTTTTCAAAAGGACCTCATAAATTTTGTTTTGTAGTAAAATAGAAATGATATGTACACCAGGTCTGAAGATTTTAAGAAACATGTTTTCATTATCAACTATGACGTTTGAGAAATTGATCTTCTTCAGGAGTAATGAGTCGATACGAAGTGAAATGGAAGAAGTGATAGGAGACATTTTCCATTCGACTCGACGACGTCGTCGGAATGGAATTCAATGTTGATTCGAAGTACCTCATCGCTAGAGTCGGTCCAATTCCCTCATCGAGCCGCAATTGAGTCAGTTGCTCTCAGCAAATTGCTCGCATTCCCATTGTCGAGATTCTGTTCCAGGGAGGGAGGGGGGGGGGTCAATCTCCGATACAATAGCGATTCCTAAGCCTAATTGCAGAAGCGTGTTATAGACACGTGGCACACGAACACATCGTCTCGTGGCTTCCTTCGTCGAATATTTAGAAGAGTTGCAATTAGGGATGGAGTTGTGCGCGTCGCGAGTAACAGGAGCTGTCGAAATTAATTTCAATCGTATTTGAACACTCTGACAGGCAAACTAAATATTAATGAAAATTTTGGCCCGTGCTTGTTCTCAACCTTAGATTATAATACATCTTTTGAAAATTACTTTAGAAGAGGCTAAATATTCAAGAGAAATATTCATAATGAAATGTTTCAGTTTGACCTATCGTAGATGAAGA